GGTAAAAAATTAATTAAAACTCTTAAATAACCATATGTTGCTAATTTTAATATTGTTCCAGCTAATAATATGGATCCCGCTAAAGGTGAATCACTATGAGCTTTAGGTAACCAAATAATGAAAGGATATAATGGAGTTTTAACTGCAAAAGCTATAAAAAATCCTAACCATAAGTATTTTTGACTTTCTAAACTTATTTCACTTAAAGAAATTAATTGAAAATCTGTAGAACCAATATAAGAATTAATAGTTAAAATACTTAATAACATAGGTAAACTACCTGCTAAAGTATATAAAAAGAATAAATAAGCAGATCTAAATCTATCTTTACCATGTCCAAATATAACTATAACAATAAATAATATTGGTAACACACTTTCAAAGAAGATATAAAATAATAATAAATCTAAAGAAACAAATGCACATATTTGTAAGGTTTCTAATATTAAAAATGAAACAAAAAATAATTTTACATGTTTACTATTTAAATTATATGAAGATAATAATGCTATTGCTGTAACAAATGTTGTCAATAATACAAAGTATAATGATATAGCATCTACTCCAAATTTTAAATTTAAATATTTCTCCCCAAGCCCCAGAGAGTACGCGGTAAACTGGGAGAAAGTTCTAAATGAGTCATTTATTTCAGTAAATTGATAGTGTGTTATACTTGAATCAAACTCATACCAAAGGAATAAAGAAATATATAAATTAATTAATGATGTTGTAATTGCTATATTTTTCATTTGTTGTTTCCCTTCTGGAGTATTAGACATAGGTAATAAAATTAAAGACCCTATTAAAGGGATTATTAGTAATAATGTTATCATTTTATTTTTAATGTTGTTTAATTTATTATGGTATTTGTATTGCCTTTAATAAATTAGTATTCTATTTCTTGAGCTTTCTCTTAATTTAACTTAAACCTTTTCTTTAAAAAGCTACATTACCATTACCCTCTTGCATCCATAGGACTTCTTATTTTTATTATATTTTTGTCGCGTACCGGTAAAAATGAGAATCAAAACAAGGCTACTTCTCCCCTTACTAGCTAGCGGGGTGAGCAAAGGTTGGAGAGAAATATGTAGGCTCACCTATTTTCCCATAGGATTTAAACATAGGGGAGGAAAGCAAGGTATACGTAACAAAATTATGATGGTGGAGCCATAGGGAATAGTAGTTACTTTATCTTTCTATGGGGTAGTTCTGGAGGGTCCTTCGGAGAAATAGATAGAGAGAAATATCTGTTTATTTATATATTTTATATTTGATATTTGATATTTTATATTTGATTTTTGATTTTTGATTTTTGATATTTGACTTACCACCTTTCACCTTATAAATAATAATTTTCTTCTACAATACCTTTGCTTAATACTTTGCTTAAAGAAAAAAAAAAGATATAGTAGTCCTCCTCCCTATAATTACTCACAAAGTTAATTGCATACGGATCCCTATGGACCCTAATCTATATTGAGTCTAAAGATTATAGATACTGTAGATACTTTATATACTATAAAGACTATAATTACTATAAATAGGAGGCACTTACGGAGGAAAAGTAGGGAGCCAATGGGGAGGGAGGCCCTTACGGAGAAAAAGCAAAGGTGTCTATATGATAATAAATATCCATATGGAGACCATAAATTAATAGTGATAGTTGTATTTATAAAATATAAATAATAAGTATAAACAGAAAAAGGTTAGAATAGTTATAATTACTATATTAATATTAATAAATTAATTTTTCATCCTTGTTATGCTTTTATGTTTTTATATTATTTTGTTATTTTTAAGCGTGTTAATTTTTGTCCCTCCTCCCTACTTACCTCACTATTTTACTCCCCATATTACCCATAGGTAAAAATAGAGATCATTGTTTTTAAGATTAAAAAAAAAAGTAAATAGGAGGGAAGCAAGGGGAAATTGTGTTTTAAATTAGCCTCTGCCTCCGGCCTCGGCCGTTCTTATTTTGTAGCCTTTTATCTTGCCTCCATAGGACTTTTATTCTTAATTTATTCTCAAAAAAAGATAAATCAAATAAGAAGTCCTATGGAGGCAAGAGGAGAAATAAAAGAGGTAGTTAAATAAAATGCCCAATCTTATGGACCTCTGGACCTTTGGAAAGTTTTCCTTCTTCGAACAAGTACTAGGTCAAATTAATAGGGGGGGGGGGGTAAAATCAAAAATTATTTATTATTTGATTGCTCAATATTTACTAAAGATATAGCACCACTTCCAATTTCTAAAACAAAACCAATAGTTAGAACAATAAAGAACACTATACCAATAGTAAATCCAAAAATAGAAACTTGATAAAGAGTAACAGCTAATGGAAATAATAATAATATTTCTAGATCGAAAATAAGGAATAATAAAGCAACAATCATAAAATGAATTTGAAAAGTAGATCTAGTTTGACCCGGTAAAGCAATGAAACCACATTCATAAGCTGAAACTTTAGCTTCATCCGGTCTATGAACAGAAAATAAAACATTTAAAGCTAATAAAATAAAAGCTAAAATTGGGACAAAAATAAAAATAAAAAATAAATTATTCATTAAGTATAAAATAAAGATAAAGATAGTAATTGAGTACTATTTAAGATTAAAGAAGGTTTGATAAAAAATAATAATAGTATTAAAGTTAAAGTTGATATTATAAAACTATGAACATTTGTCAATTCAATGACTTCTTTGTTTTCCGCTACGCGGTAACTTTTTTCTTTAACTGCTTCACTTACTTTGTGAGAGGATGAGGAGACAAACTTTAAATCTGTAATATTTGGTAGTAATACTTGAAGTCCACTTAATGAAAGGACTCCATAGGAATCTTTATTGGCTGAAAGAGAAGAAGAAGTCAGATCAGAGCTATTTGCTTCATTTTCATTTTCATTTTCAGTAATACTTTCAATTTTTGTAAAAGTTTCATTTTCACTAATAAGTAATTTAACTATTTTTAAATAGTAAGAAGCACTTATAACAGAAACAATAATAGCTAAAATAGCAGTTAAATAGAAACCATTTTGTATAGCTGCATATAAAACAAATTGTTTAGAGAAGAAACCAATTAAAGGAGGTATACCCGCCATAGAGAATAAACAAACACATAAGCATAAACTTAATAAAGGATTACTAAAGAATAAATTTTTTAAATCTGAAATATAATTTAAATCTTTATATTTATAAGTTATGATTTCAGCGCTAATAAATGAAGAAGAAGAGTTACTTTTGTTTAAAAAGCTATTAATACCTAGGGCACCCTCATTAAATGAATTGGGATAAGAGAATAGAGGTAAAGGTTTATTTATTAATAAAGATTTATTATTTGGAGAAGAATTAAGTAATTGATTACTATTCATTTTATGAGTATAAGTTAAAGCTAAAATTATTAAAAATAAATTAAGATTTGTTATTGTATATTGTAAAATATAGAATAAAAATGAATCAATAGATTGTTCTGTGTTTATTAATAAAGCTAATAAAATAAATCCAATATGTGATATAGTACTATAAGCTAATAATCTTTTTATTTTGACTTGTGATAACCCTAATACACTTCCTATTATTAGTGAAGAGATAGAAGTAATTAATAATAATTTATAAATTGAAGATTCAACTAAAAAACTAGTATATATTTCTCCCCATCCTAATCCCCAAGAAAAGTTAATGTTTAAGGCATCCCAACCAAAGCTTCCAATATTTAAAGGTCCATGACTTATACCAAAATGAGTAGTAATTTCTAATAAAAACATAAATATCGCAATTTTAGGTAAAATTGTTAAATACATTGTTACTATTGTTGGAGTACCATCATATACATCTGGAGACCAATTATGTAAAGGAGCTGCTGCTATTTTAAATAAAAAACCTATAAAAATTAATAATAAACCTAAAGTTAAACCTTGTAAGAAGTATTCAGTTCCTCCTAATGAGCTTAATGGGAATGATAAATCATTTATTGAATTTAATAGATATATTGATTCAAAACTTGTTGTACCTGTATAAGAATAAACTATTCCTGAACCTAATAAAATTATTGCTGAAGATAAACCACCTAATAAAAAATATTTTAATCCTGATTTAGTAGAAGATTCTGAATTTCTATATAAAGTAGATAAAACATATAAACCAAAAGATTGTAATTCTATACTTAAATATAATGAAATTAAATCATAACTACTTATTAATAAAGAGGATCCTAAACTACTAAATAAGATTATTAAGGAATAATCTGTTGAATATTTATCTGTTAAATAATATTTTACTTTATTGACTTTTGTTATTATTTGAGGCCAACCGATTAAAAGTAAACCTACGATTAAATAGAAAAATGTTTCTATAAATTGAGAAATTTGTGTTACATGGAATAATCCACTATAAATACCTATACCAGTCCCTATTGTTTCTAAGTATAAAGTATTAAATGATAGAAAACCAGTAACTATAAAAACTATTGAAATTATCCTAAAAAAATGTACTGAAGATATATTTGTGTTTAAAACAGGTAGAGCCTTAGCTACTATTAATATTAATATTGTTATGAAAATCATCACTTAGTCCTCTAACTTTTTATTTAGTGTCTGATTTAGAATCGGTTTATCTAGATATTAAGAAGAGGTAGACATTAGATATTTTTAAAGCGCATTAATACTGACTAATAGGAGCCATTAACTTAAACTGCTTTATTGATACACCTGACATACTACTAAGACTCAGACTCCTACTCCTACTAAGACTCCTACAGAGGAATAGGAGAGAGATAATTACTATTTATTTTGTAACTTAAATAGCGCTAAGAACGCATACTCCTTACTAATTGCTTTTTTAAAGGGATACATAAAACAAAAACAAAGGATCTATCCCTCATCCCTCATCCCTCATCCCTCCTCTTCGTAGAACCCCTACTTTTTGGAGGGGAGAAGAAGCCCTATGGGGAAAAGTAACCTAGGTAGGGAGATAAATTTGTATAAGATATTTAAATTAATTTACTTTAATTGATCCTTATCAGATTTGAACTGATATTTATTCCTTGAAGGGGAATTGTACTAACCATTATACGAAAAGACCTTAAAAAATAACAGCTAAAATTTATGGAAATAAATAGAATTTATATAAAAATTTTAATTAATAACAATACTTGTATTTTTTTTAACGCTTATACTTTCTCAATAGGCCCTCATTTAATAGGTATACTTACCTAAAGGACCTAAGGTAAGGGCTAAATATGGAGATGGATAAGGTGATGGAGAGAAAAATAAAACTCATAAGGAGGAATACCTATCTTCTTTTTTGCCATAGGGGAGATCCTTTGCTATATAAATACAAAAGCAAAGGCAAAATAAGAAAAAAAATTAGCGAGATAAGAATTTGAATCTTAAATAACAGCTCATGAGACTGCTGTGTTACCAATTACACCATCTCGCTTTATAATATATTTTTAATTTAATCTTAATTACCTTTCATGACTTATTTTGAATAAATTGTTTAAGTACTTTGATTTAAGTTAAGATTATTATCTTTAACTTACATTGGAGGAGTTACCCTACAGAATTTAGTTTATCCTTAATGGAAGGCTCCATATTTTGCCTCACATCCGTAACTTACTTTAAAATTGAGTAGCCTACGGAGGTGGAGCTTTGCAAATCAAATCTTTTCCTCCGTATTACTTTGTGAAAAAGCAAAGGGTCCCTAAGTGGGGGAATAAGGGCTCACTACTTGTAAGGAATGATGTAGACAAAGTAGGATGTTACTTAAGGTCCTATACTACTAATAATACCTATGCTCTTAAGGTGGGGGCTAATAAAAGGCAAATATTAATATTAATAGTAAATATTAAACATTTTTTTTACTTAATTTAGTAATGTAAGTTCTTAATACTTGTGTTAATAAAGAAGAAGGTAAAACATATTTAGATAAAATATATATTACACTAAATAATATAACAAAAGTTATAACAATTTGATTTAAAAAGAAAAAGGGTATTAATTGTGGCATATTTTTTGTTGTTTTTTTTTTTAGTTTCTATCATAGGTTCCATAGAAAGGAGTGTTAAAGAAAAATCTCTGCTTTTATATTTAGTAAATATATTAGCTTTTATAGTTAATATTACTTAATACATACACCCTTATTATTTTAATTAATTTTATCCTCTCTCCCCCCCCCCCTACTTTTTGGAGGGGAGAAGAAGCCCTACAAAATTCGAAGAAGAAGAACTTACTTTTGCTTTATTTGCAAAGGATATTTAAAAGTAAGTAAAAGTAGGATTTGAGTAGATTCTCCCTAAATAAGGACTACTTTGTTCCTACTTTGTATCCTCTCCTTATCCTTTACTTTTAAGAGAGATATATCCTTCTAAGGAGAAACCTAGGGTCCATAAGGATTGCTTTTAAGAGATACGTAGGGAGAATAAATATAAAGCAAAGGATCTCCCCTATGGCTCTATAAAAAAAGTAGGAGCTTTGTTTTTTTATTATTATTTATCCTCTGCTCTACTTTTATTCCTTCTGCTCTCCCACCATTGGGTCGTTAGCGGTCGCTAGCGGGAGAAGGAGACTCTACCTTCTTTAGCCTAGTACCTTAAAGGATAGTAGCTTTACAATTATTCGAATAATTGTAAAGCAAAGGTGGACAGAGGCTCCTAGCCACCTTTGCTTTATTTCAACCTACCCGTAGGGAGGTAAATAATTACAAAAACAAATGAGATCTAAAAAGTAAGGGTCCCATAATTTTGCCTTTGAATTTTGTAAAGACAATTCTTCTCCTATGGACAAAATAAAGGAAAGCAAAGGGGAGGAAATTAATAGTCAAATAGATATAAGTTAAATAAAGTTATAAAAACTATAATAATAATGAGATTATTAAATGTAACTTAATAATTTATTATAAAACAAATACACTTTCTTGCTTTTTCTCCATAGGAAGCCTTACTAAGTAATAAATAAGGAAAGTAAACAAGTAAAAGTCAGATTTAAGTAATATAAAAATTTTAAGAAATAATTGTAAAACCAATAATATTTTCATTACCATCTCAGTTTTCCATAGGACTAACTCCTTTATGGGAGTAGGATTAGGATAAGGAGATGAAGATAGAGAAAGAAAAATATAAATTTATCTCAAAAAAATATACGAGTAATCAGGATCGAACTGATAATATCTACTTGGAAGGTAGAGGTTATACCATTTAACTATACTCGCTTTAAATTAACTATTTTTTTTAATAAAAAGGATAAATAGGAGGAGGAATGTATTGATTACAATTAAGAAAGGAGTCCTTTAATGAAGAATTTAGATTATAATGTTGCTACTATTAAGTAAATTAAAGCAAGATAAATAAAAAAATACTTTTAACTCTTTTATTTATGTAACCTTTGCTCTCCCCCCGCTAAGAGTAAGGGAGAAGGAGCCTTACTTTTTTTTTATATCCTTTGCTTTATTTAGTAACAAGAAAAGGAGGGGAGAAGGAACCTCGTTTTTTTTCTTATTTTAACCGGTACGCGACAAAAATATAATAAAAATAAGAAGTCCTATGGAGGCAAGAGGGTATAAAATAAGAAATCCTATGGAGACAATTCTTCTCCTATGAACAAAGGAGGGAGGGAGAGCACCTAGGGGGTGGGGTAAAGGTAAATAAAAGGTAAAGGGGTTATTTGTTTTATTTTTACTACCCTTTGATTATGTATTTCCCCAGAAATATACAGCTACAAATAAAAATAACCAAACAACATCAACAAAGTGCCAATATAGAATTGCTGATTCAAAACCATTGTGGTGTTTTGTAGTTAATTGATAATTAATTATTCTTATAAGAGCTACTCCAATAAAAATAGTACCAATTATAACATGGAATCCATGTAATCCAGTTGAAGCATAAAAAGCTGAACCATAAACTCCATCAGCCATAGTAAATCCAGCTACAGAGTATTCAAAATATTGTAAAGCTGTAAATATAACAGCTAAGATTATAGTAATAATTACTCCATCTATTGCACCTTTTCTATTTCCTGCTATTAAAGCATGGTGTCCATATGTAATAAAAGCACCACTACTTAATAATAAAAAAGTATTAAGTAAAGGTATAGCAAAAGGATCTAAAGGTGTAATACCTAAAGGTGGCCAAGAACCTCCAATTTCAATTGCTGGGGATAGACTAGAGTGGAAGAAAGCCCAGAAAACTGATAAGAAAGCAAAAATTTCACTTATAATAAAAAGTATAACTCCCATCATTAATCCATTTTTTACTTCTTTAGTATGGTGTCCTAAATATGAAGCTTCTATTACAACATCTCTAAACCATAATATCATACCATATGTTGTTAATATAAATCCTAATGTTAATATGTAACCTCCATAAGTAAACCCATGCATATATGCTACTGCACCTATTGTTAAATTTAATAATGAAAAACTAACTAAAATAGGCCAAGGTGATGGATCAACTAAATGAAAAGGAAAATGTTGAAATCTACTTATTATTAAATTTGTATTTTCCATTTTTTTAGATATTTTTGTTTGGTGTTAACCTTATTTGATATTTAATATTTTTAACCTTTAGAACAATAGATACGGATTTCCTTTGTAAATTTGAAAATAGGAGAGGAAATAACAAAAAAAAAAGCTCCTATTTATTTACTTTTTTAAGAAATAGATATCCTACGTAGGCTAAAGTAAAGGATCAGGAGTAAGAAGGAGTATCATAAGTGCTAATAGTTAAAATTTTGATATAAATTATCATATGTCATATTTTTTATCTTCGATTCCTATGCTGGCCTCAATAATAGAGAGCCATAAGTTTGCCTTTATTTTTTTTTTTGTTAATATACAAAATATATTTTTATGACTCTTATCTTTTCTTTTTTATAAGTAATGGATGGAGAGTTATTTATGTAACCTTTGCTCTTCCCCCTCCCCCTTACTTTTTTTTTTATATCCTTTGCTTTATTTAGTAACAAGAAAAGGAGGGGAAAGGAGCCTTGTTTTTTTTTCTTAAATTTACCGGTACGCGACAAAAATATAATAAAAATAAGAAGTCCTATGGAGGCAAGAATTAATTAAAATAATAAAACAAGTGCTATAAAGTATTAAGAGTCTGAAAACAATTTGTAAATTTTCACCTATTTATATAAAAACCATTACTTGTTTGTTATTGTCCTCCCTCCCTATGGATCCCTACGCTTAGGGGAGGCTTCTACTCCCTCCTTTGGTTTTGTCTTTGAAAAGCAAAGGATCTCCAAAAAAGTAGGGGTTCTTCTCCCTTAGGGGGAAGAAAAATAATCCCTATGGACAACCTCTCCGTAGGACCGTAGGACCGTAGGACCGTAGGAGACTCCCTTCTTCTATAAATTAATTAAAAAGATAAAGGAGTAACAGCTAATGGCTTGCAAAGCAGTAAATTTAATATCTTTCCTTATTTATTAGTAATCCATTCTATTAATATTTTTTATTATTTACCTATTTAGTAAATGTAGTATTTATAGTTCTCTTCCGGACTCGAACCAGAATAAACATTTTAGAAGAATGTGATTCTAACCATTGAATTAAGAGAACTTAATTACATAGTAACCTATCACCAGTTTAGCCCTAAGCGATGGACCTTTATTTTTACTCTTATTTGCCTTTGCTTTACAATTATTAGACCTACAGCTCTCTAAGAAAAACAAAGGTAAAAGTAAAATTTTATATTAAAAACTAACTTTTATTTCTTCTATCTTAGATCTACTTAACAGCTGATACCTTCCAATTTTTAAGGTCATACGCAACTAAATAAATAAAAGGTAAATACCAAGTTTCTTCCTAATCCTAGAAGGATCTATCTCCCCTAATCAAGGTAGGGACCCTTTTCTTTTGTTAACCCTCACTCACTTTGTGAGTACTAAGCCAGAGGTCCATTATGGACTTATTATTTTTAAAAACATAACAATAAGAATAAAAATAGTGAGTTCTTCTTATTCTTCTTATTCTTCTTATTCTTCTTATTCTTCTTCTTCTTCTTATTCTTCTTATTTGAAGTAATTAAGGGAATAATTACAATACAAAGGATAGGAAAAATTAAGGGATGGAGAGTTATTATTAATTAAATCGTTCTTCCGCTAGCGACCGTTAGCTAGCCAATGGGGATGGGGACAAAGGTAAATTATGTACTCATTACTATGTACTAAGAGGGAGGGGGGGTTAATTTAAAATAATTTCCAGCTGCACTTTCCAGTACAGCTACCTTGCTATGACTTTTGAGATGTTACTCAGATGGGTTAGTCGAAACTAATTAAACCTAACAAAAGCAGTTAAAAACCTATTTAAATTATAATCAAATTATAAATTAAAGAATAACTACACTAACTATTCAAATAAATGAATAATCAAATCAATTTTCTTTTCATTTATTATTTTAACCTCCTATTTCTAAAAATTTAAGAACGGCCGAGGCCGGAGGCAGAGGCTGATTTTTCTAAGAAGATTTATTTAGTTTATTTAATAATTGCTATTGCCTTTGTCCGCATTTGTTTTTGCCCTTAAGCAATTGCAAAGTAGGAATAGGCAAAGAAATTAAAGTAAAATATAAAAAATAAAAGACTCTTACTACAAATACCTACCAAAGGTAGGCAAAATATTAGTAAAAAAATAAATAAAGAAATAGATAACTAGATAATAAACCAATATTTTTATTATTTAGAATGTTTTACATTTGTTAAAGATAGACTTCGCGGCGCTTTCCCCCAAGCTGAACTTCTCCCCAGCGACAGACAGTTAGTTCATCACGGATTCATTGTTCACCGTTGCGTTGCTTATCAACGATTACTCGAAATTCCTTCTTCATGTTGCCGAGTTACAGGCAACAATCCGTTTTAAGATTAATACAATTAACTTTCTTTACTGATTAGCTAAACCTTATAAATTTAAATAATAAAATCTAAATTTAAGTTTTGCGTCAAATTGTAAAAGTTCTAGTGGCACGTCTATAGCCCAGTCCATGAGGGCCATAACGACTTGTCTTAGCCCCAAATGAAAATATTTAAAAATCATTAATAGTTAAGTATAAATTAACTACAGGGATTTCGTCCGTTAGTGGAGTTAACCTCACTTTTCACAATACGGACTGACGACAGCCATGCAACACCTGTAAACGGATAAATTAATATAAATAAATATTCTTCGAATAACCCTATTATTATTTTAAACAAAAAAAAAATTAGGGAAGAAAAAGTAACTTATTTATAAATAATTATCACTCAATCCAGTCTTAAAATTAAAAGAAAAACTTCGAAGAAAAACTTCTCCCTTAGGTAAGCCTAAGGGGAGAGGCCCTCACTTATTTTTATTAAATTAATAACTCATAAAATAGTGAGTCCTCACTATAAAGTATGTAGGTAGAAAAATAAAACAAATAAATAATAATAAATTACTATTTATCTAAATATTTATCAAATCCTACTATTACTACTCAGTAGTTTTTTATCTTAATCTCTTTTTCAAATAATAAGAGGGACTGGCTATGCAAGAACTGGTAAGATTTTACGCGTACTTTCGTATTAAATAACATGCTTCACTTCGTTTGCTCCGAGACCGACTAATTTTTTTGGTTTCAGTTTTGCAACCGTACTCTCAAGGCGGAATGGTTATCGCGTTAACATCGTTACTAATTTTTATTCAAAAATAATAACTACCATTCATCGTTGACGGTGAGAGGTAACTGGGTATCTAATCCTATTCCCTGTTCTCACTTTCGTTCCTCAGCGTCAATCATTAGTAGATAAAAGTTTACACCATTAGTATTCCACTTAGTATCTATGGATATTATCCCTACACTTAAGTATTATTTGGTTTATCTTCAATATGATTCTAGCTTTTAATCAAAATATGTTAAAAACTAATCAAATAAGGTTTATTGTTATTTTAATTAGAGCTTAAATTAACATATTTTTTTATAAAGCTGCCTACTTACCCTTTACGCCTGTTTAAGACGACTAACGTTCGCGTTTCTGGTGTTACCGAGTCTTCTGGCACCAGTAATTTGGACAACACTAATAGTAAGGTATTATCATTTTTTTCCCTTACCTTATCTTAATTGCACGATTAAGTGTAATTAGGATTTCAGTTAGCTAGTTCACTCTTGCGAGCATTGACTAATATTCTTGACTGCAGATCCCCTATGGGATTTGGGGCTATTGCTTCCCCAATGTGGCCATCTCTTCTTTCAAATTTGGCTATTGATCGTAGGCTTGGGAGGCTTTTACCCTGCCAACTACCATTAAACAAAGTAAATCAATTCTTATAGCGGAAAATTTCCTTTAGTTATAACTAAGCTAAGTTATGCTAATAATTTAAATGTATTTTTTTATTAACTATCCTCTATTTAAGAAGTCTATAAGATATCTTATTTACCATTACTCACCTTTACACCTTATTCTCCTTTGGACTGGATAATTATTTATTTAATCCGTAGGTAGAATAACGATTCGCATGTCTTAAAACTACTGAAAAACGTTCAATCAGAACCAAAATTAAATTCTTCTATAATTTTAATTTTTATTTAAAGTACTCCGAAGGACCCTCCATAACATATAGGTTATCATACCTAGGATACCTAAGGTTTGGACCCTATTCCTAATGGACCTATGATGTTCAGAGCAAAGGAGAAATAAATAAAAATGTATTTTATTTGCTTATATATTTTGCAATTTTTATAATATCTTCTTTTATTTCAAATAAATTTATTATTTTTATAAAGTTTTGTCGGTACACCCCCCCCCTTACCTGATATTTAAGAATATAAATAAGAACAATTTCTCCATAGGAAGAAAAAAAAAGGAGAGGAAAATTTTTATTTATCCCTAGGAAGTGAATAAGGGGATTATTAGAAGGAGGGAAAATGGACCAATGAGTAGGGGGTTAAATATCTTTTTTTTTCAAATTGTCGCTAGCGGTCGCTAGCGATTCTATAGGTAATAAATGGAATATTTTTATTTAAATAATAATGTTGTTAATAAAAATAAATTTAAAGCGAGTATTGCAATTAAAAATATTAATGCAACAAAAATTTCTATTATTATGTTTATTTCACTTGTTTTTTAAAGAAGTTTATATATTTTATTAATTTTGGGTATTTACTTTCAACATCATATTTATCTAATAAATATAAAGAAATTATAAAACCTATAATATTTATAAAACAAATTAAAACTATACTACTTAAAATAAACATAGAAAAAGCATAATTTAATAAAGGATCTGAATCTTTACAGAAAGTAAAATTTTTAAAGTTATAATAATCTTATTCATTATTTTTGATTAAGAAGCTGAATCTAACCAAACAATAAAATCAGGTGAAGATACTGCTTCAACTACGATAGGCATAAATCCATGCCAAACTCCACAAATTTCTGAACATTGTCCGTAGAAGGTTCCTGATCTTTCAGCTAAGAAAGATACTTGATTCAACCGTCCTGGTACAGCATCTAATTTTAAACCTAATGAAGGAACAGCAAATGAATGTAACACATCACTTCCAGTAATAATTAATCTAATATGGCAATCAACAGGTACAATTAATCTATTATCTACATCTAATAATCTAAATTGACCTAATTCTAAATCAGATTCAGGTATCATATATGAATCAAAATCAATAGAATCACCAGAATCTGTAATAAAATCAGAGTATTCATAAGACCAATACCATTGATGACCTACAACTTTAATAGTTAAAGTAGGAGATATTACTTCATCCATTAAATATAATAATCTAAATGAAGGAAAAGCTATTGCTATTAATATTAAAGCTGGTGTAATAGTCCAAACTAATTCTAATACAGTACCATGTGTTAAATATTTATAAGCTATAGGATTTTTAGAAGAACTATAGTAATAAATAACTGACATAATTACCCAGAAAACAGAAAAACTTATAACAATTAAATAGAATCCAATTGTATTGTGTAAAGTAACTATACCTGTGAAACCTGGAGCAGCACTATCTTGGAAACCTAATTGCCAAGGTTCACTTGCATCATTAAAAATAGTTGTTAAATATGTTAAATAATTTATCATTTTTAATTTATTTAAATTTGTAATCTTAATTTAATTGACAGTCTTTACTAGGGTATATTGGAGAAAATTAACACCTTTGTTTAAAGAAATTAACAAACTACAACATCCTACCTCTCCGTAAGGGCGTAAGGCCTCCCCCATGGGTTCCATAGGAGGAGAAGAATTGCTTACATAGGAGGAGAAGGACTCTTCCCCCCCCCCCTAAGGTGCCCTAATTTTCTTGCGAAGCAACTCCCCTTAGTCTTAGCGGGGGAGAGGAGATATCCTTTGCTATTACAAAGACAAAAGCAAAGGCGGGAGGGAGAGCTCCTTACTATTAATCTAGATTATCATAGTTTGGCTGAATAAAAATTAAATAATAACAAATTTATCTTAAACAAAATTTTCCTCCTTTTTAGAGATCCTTTGCTCCCTATCCTTTTCTTTTAAGGCAAAAGAAAAGGATAGCTAAAGGGTGGGGTAAGTAAAGCTTCTACAAAGCAAAAGAACAAAAGGCCATACTT